AAAGAAAAGAAAGAAAAAGAAGGAGAAAAGGACAATAAAGAAAAGAAGGAAAAAGAAGGAGAAAAGGAAAATAAAGAAAAGAAAGAAAAAGAAGGAGAAAAGGAAAACAAAGAAAAGAAAGACAAAGAAGGAGAAAAGGAAAATAAAGAAAAGAAAGAAAACAAGAAGAAATGAAAGAAAAAGAGAAAAAAAAAAAAACCCTATTAGGACCTCAGGCCCTACGAATAAATTGCACCCACATAGGTCAATTTCATTTATAGCACCTAGAGAACAAAATAAGCCCAAATGGGCGAGCTTGAGGTTTCACACGTAGAGAAAGAAGCAAACCTCAAAAAAAGAAGAAACATGTACCTCTCTTAGGGCAAAAATAAAATCATTAAGAAGTTTGCCCGTTCCCATTATGTTTCCTTATGTTTCGCCCTTTTGCATTCTTTTTTTCCCTTATTTGTATCATTCACTTTAGAAACTGTATATAGTGCATATTATATAAACCATAACAAACATATTACTCATAAACTCTCACATTATGTACATTATTTATTCCGGTTCCCTGCGAGCCCGTTACTTATTTGTTTTCCCCGTGGAAGAAACAAAGAAAAGGTGTAGGGAACAAACCTTTAATATATGCATAGGTACTAAGAGGAAAAAACGGAACACTGTTCTTCTTAAAATTTTCCTTAAGCACCAAGAAAAAAAATAAGACCAAATTAACAATTTCACATAGAAAAGACCACATCTGAAAAGAACAAAGATGTGTCCCTCGTGCCGGAAATGTTAAAATTATTAATGATTTTGCCTTCTTGTTTCTTCCTTGTTGCCCTTTCCCTGCAACCCTTGTTTCCGTAAACATAAAACAAAAGGAGGAACAAAGAACGAAAGGAAGAGTAATTGCATCATAAAAACAAAGGGTCAGGAAGTTTCCTACATAATAACCTACTCAAATGCTTGCAATGAACCAGAACTAACAGGCGCGTAAATTACGTACTGAATGCCCTTAAAGTAATAAAACAAAACAGGGCAAAAGTAAACAGTAGGAAACAAAAGAGAAGAAAAAAAAAAAGAAGGTATATAATAATGTAAGCACAGTAACGCATTATATTATTGAATAAAGGAAAAGTGAAATATTCTTATCATTTACCCCAATCTGCATTCCTGCAACCCCCCTTCAGCCATCTTCCCGTCAAAGCTGCTCACAGCGTCTGAAATAGCTCATCCACATACAACTCCTTCTCCTGCATACTCCCTTCTCTTTCAAAGTGTTCTATGATTGGGGATAGGGGAAGCATCCACAGAGCGAACAGCAATGGGGTAAATGTACAAGGTTTCACGGGTGTAGCGTATATTGCTCTTCCTGTACCTATGGTCCCGGATAATCGGTGAACTTCGTGTTATCATGTTGCACACGATCTTCTGCTGTACTTCTGTTTTTGAGCATTTCTTGAAATATGTATTCTGAAGTCACGACCTCCCCTGTCTGATGAACTTGTGTTCCTAACATTTCGTGATGTATGTACTTTAAGGTTACACTCCCCGTGCCCTGTGATTTCTTCCATGTTCAGGCAGTTTCTGATCATTGTATACGATAAGCGATGAAGCCTGGAATATATGTACTTCGTCATGCGATGGTAGTACACTTCAAATATACATGCATATATATACGTGTGTGTGTTCATGCGTGGTCATGTTACGGGCAGTCTTTTAAGTGTAGTGCGGGGTATGTATATATACTTTGTCATCCGGTGGTAGTACCCCTTCCAATATACATATATGTGTGTGTGTCTTCAATGTGTTGTATGTGTTGCATGTTATGGCATGGATAGACAGAGTTTTGTGTGTTATGGTATACAGTATGGGAAAAATCAACATTCACTTTGTGCTGTGCAATGTTGCGTGCGGGATGTTCCTCGCTCGCGCCCTATTGGACACTGGAATTATATGTACAATCGAATATAGACCTTGGAGTCTACTACTGCAACCAATGAAGTAATTCCCTTCGGCTGGTTTTTAGGTTCGCCGTACAAAATGCATTGTTCACGCCGCCCCCGTTTTTTTGTCGTTCATCAACATATTTTGGCCTTTTACCGTGCTTCGGGAATGAAAAGGGACGGGGGCGGGCATGGGAACGGCAATATTTCGGAGTGCCGCACACTACATTTTTCTGTTTCTCTGGGCATTGACTAATAATTATGGGTGACGGGAAGCCATATAGGAAGCTGTTCGTTTGCATTTGCAAAGCCTTTCATCCGTCCCTTAGCACATATAATACTATTCCATCCCGAAAACCATTCTCCTAAAACTTAATTCAGTCATATGCGCGCTTTATGCACATCATCGTGCCTTCATGATTTCCGGCATACAGTTGTACGTACTTCCCAGAGTCATTCGTTGTACACACCACGCGTGTAATTCCTTGCGTCCAAGAAAAGAAAAAGCAGAGAAAGAATAAGAGCAGAATTGGACGTAACGCTAAAACAACTTAAAGTTGATTCCAAAAAAAATAAATAAATATTTGTACAAATGAAAAATAATAAAATAATAATAATAAAATAACGTAAAAACACAGAATGCCTGGACAATATTACGCGCGCAGCATCCAAGGTAAACTGTTGCCACAGCCCCGACAAAAAACAAAATGTACATATTCAGACGTCCGAGCACATATATTTAGCAGTAGACGTAGGCTGTGCTCTTGTACTGTCACGAATACAATGTACCATGAGAAAAGTACACACAACCGATTTAGGGCCATCGCGCGCAATATGTTTTCGTAAGCGCGCAACATATATGCCTTTATATTATGTACACCGCTGACAATAATTATTCTGGAACCACAATTCTTCCTGTATTCAATTTTGTCCCATATACTTCTCACGAGTTCACTTCTGAAATTGGTAATCATCCCGTGTGAATACGATGTCGTGCCACGTGTGATTTGTGTGCGCAACCACATATGTGCCTCCTGATGATTTGAAGCTTATGTATTTCCGCAGCTCATGATATTTGAGAACCCCGTGAAATATGAAATTAGTTACTCTGTACGGGCGCCAGAAAATTTGGCGTAGGAAATTTATTGCGTCCTATTATTGGTGTACAGGCCCCCTGCTGTGTTCTGTTTATAATATTCAATTATAACCCTTCACCCCCACCCTGCGTACTCTGTTCGTTCCGTCACGTGGCAACATGTACACACAGAGTGGAACTCAAGATCCCCTTGCCGAGGTCTTAGCTCGTTACCGAGTGTGCTTATTCATTATCGCCCGCCTGAATACACATTCCTCATACTGTCATAAGCACTTTTTCCAACTTTCCCGTAGAACCCTTTGGAGCATTCTCTTGACCAATCCATTCATTGTATCTGCCCAAGTGCGCGCACCCATGACGTCCATATTTTGCCTTTCCTTTATATAACTTCCGTCTTTCCTTAATGTACACGTGTGACGTGCTCACAGGATGCTATGGCAATGATGCCTCCCACATTTGTCACCCCTACACGGTGCTCGTCGCATAGGCACAGTAAATATTCGCGCCAAAATATTAACTGCTGCTCATAACAGTGTTGCTCTGAATGGAAGGTGAGTGGTACCATACGTGGTCATTTCGTAACCAAGAATAAACGCCACGTGGAACAGTGTATACGTGGTCAGACGCATTTTTCCGCCAATTCTAATCGTTTCCTGATATAGAGGCACCATATATACCTGCTGCTTCTTTCATTCATCCATATTACTTATGTTGGTCTTTCGGATGTCTTACCAGTATCCTTCCATTGTTCCGTAGATATGCGGTCGTCCATTTTTCTTAAAAGGAAAAATTTCTTCCTCATACGTATATTCGAGGAACGCAGGGCAGCAGCCACTGTTTCCCTTGTTCCTCTTCTACATCACATAGCTGATGAGTCATGTAACATCTTTTAAACGCTGTTCATTTTCATTACTATTATAATGCGGGAAAAAGGACAAGGAAAAGGGAACAAAGAACAAGAAAAGAAAAGGATACTATTGAATTACTTAATGCAGTCCTACATTCTAAGAAAACGTCCGATGCAGTGTATGTAGAACATGGAACAAAAAGAAGGGCAGCAAGGGGGAGGGACGTTCCCATCCAGTAACAGTTAATAGGCACACTGGGACACACGAATTAAGAGAATTCTATAAATGTATAATGTACTATATGTAATCGCATGTGTGTTAATAATATAGAGAACGTATAATATATACGGCGCCGTAGAAATATAAGGGGGCGTTCAGTGTACACGCCGGCTGTATAATATAGAGTTCGATATTTCCGCCTCCTCCCATCCACCTCGAAAAAATTATCAGTCCTATTCTACGTAATCCTCGTTTTCTTTCGCCTAAAAAGGGAGCATCAGTGTACTCATTCCGACTTATTCCTTTTTCAGTCGAAAAATGGATTCTTTCCCTTAATGCATACATTACTCACAACATACAGAGCGCACTACATTAATGTCCCGAAATCTCCTACGCAAAAAGTGGGAATACTGCTACTTGTCCCCTATTATCAGGTGAACATTGTCATATAAGGTAGAAGTTATTACGGTTTCCTATATACATAAGGACTATACAGGCATATATCACATAGGAAAGAAAAGGGAAAAGTAAAAACATCCACTTACATTTCTGCCTTATGTCATCTTCTCTTTTGTACGAAACTTATAGAATGTTCCAGAGCAGTACACTTCCGACAATAACACCCTGTACCTTCCAGAGTAATATTGTCCACATTCATATTCTCCAAGTTCCTACCCACCATATACGTATTTTCTGCATGTATACTGTCCCACATTCATTCTGTCTACATTAATATGTATAAGATGTATATTCCTTATTTTGATATGTCCAATTTTAATACTTCCCTTAATACCGTTTTCTGCCATTTGAAATGGCTCCCAAATTACCACATTTTATGATGCATATTTTGTTAACAAATATTTTAAATAATATCCTGTCGTTGTGCATATAGGAAAATATGTATGTTAAGCCTAAAATCTCTAAAACCCTAGAAAATTCTACTGTTCTAATGTACACACGATTTGCCTCCCCATAAGTACATTTCTCCATTATTATATCCACAATTAAAGCCATTGAGTTGTTCGTGCATATATAGAAATTCGTTCCTACTATAATATATGATTCCGCCGTTCATTCTCCATCGTTAGAAAAATGCAATATCGCTTTAAAAAGTGCACAATTATCTCTATAGAAAATACCCCGCACCCTAATTAATTCTAAATCATATAATGAGCACTGAAAACGATGCCCCTACTTCCGTGCCCTATTATATCTTCTAATTATACCTTTATGCATATTAATTTTATATTTAAATTATATATATGGTTACCTACAACAGAAAAACACTAAATTGCATAAAACAAAGAATTTAATTAGGACGTTTGTATGTCAAAAGAGTAGAAGTTTCCGGGTGTAAGAATCCTATAAAAATCAATACATATATATAGAAAAAAAAGCAAAAAGGACAATCTTACAATCCTTGCATGTATAATAAAAAAAAAAGAGAGAGAAAATCACATAGTGTTTACATATATAAAAAAAAAAAAGAAAAAATAATAATCCTATAATTCATAACATATATATAATTAAAAGAACATTCCTATAATCCTCACACATGTGTTAAAAAAAAAAAAAAAAAAAAAAATCGTGTAGTGCACACATATTAAACAAAAAAATAGTAGCAACATAATCCCCATATATTTAAGAACAAAAGAACAATCATATAATCCATATGCATACATAAAAAAAAAAAGAAAAGAACCATTCTATAATCCCTGCATATATAATAAGGAATTGAAAAAGAAAATAAAAAGAAGAAACAAACAAACAACAATCCTGTAATCCCTATATATATTTTAAAGGGAAAAGAGGAAAATCATATAATGTACATATATATATATATAAAAAAAAAAAAAAAACAACCGCGTTGATCTTCGTGCGCAGAAGAAAAAAATGAGAAGAAAAATCGTGTAATGCTAACATATATTTTAGAAAAAAAAAAAAAAAAAAAAGAAAAGCATCATGTAGTGCATATGTATATATAGAAAAGAAAAAACAAAACAACAATCCTATAATTCATGCATGTACATTAAAAAAAAAAAGGAAAAAAACATGCATTACATATATGAATATATAAAGGACAGAACAACATGATGTTTCATGCGAATCTATCAATATTTAGCTCTATACTGTACTCTAAGCAATATTTTCACGATGTATGATAATAACTAAGGCATTCTCAAAATGCGGAATCCTATTATTACCTCCATTTTTTTGCTCCCTGTAAGAAATTAAAACCTTCTCTTCATTCCTTCTAACCTAATACTTGCGTAATGTATAACGCCCCAAATACATCTTTTCCGCTTTTGTTCTTATATGTTAGCTAATTGAACTTGGCACATCATGGAAGAATACGGCCGAGCAAAATGACACTCTCGGTGTCAGGATCAGTAGATTACTAATGGTTGAAGTGGATATGCAAACACCAGAACAAAATAATACACTTCCCGACAGTCCTAGTCGGGATCCCTTTAAGGAACCAATCGTTCAGGCTAAGGAAGAAGCTGCGAAGGACAAAAGACCATTTCTTAGGGGAGAAACAAACGTTCCTTCTGGAGAACCAACTCAGCAATCAGAAGAACACGAATTGTACAAAAGACAATACGTCCCAGTTGATTCCATACCTGATCATATCATAAAATGCTTCAAACCATATGAAGATATAAGTCATATGTATAGGGAAGAACCAAAAAAGGAGAAGAAAAAGAAGATGAGCAAAGACAAATTACGTAGAAGGAACAATAATGTAAATCATCGTGCATTCCATAAAATAGATGAGTATGAAGAATTAATCGACAGGTCCCTAAAATATGATGAAAAAGGTCATAGAGATAAAAGGGATGAATTCTTATCTGGGGATTCTAGAAAATTAGACAGAAATGGAACCGATAATTCGATTGCATTTCATTACGAAATGACTTGTTTCGATGAAAGATTGACAGATTATGACATAAATGAAAAATTAGAACAAATCGAAGAGGAACCTCATACATGCGAATTACTCTCATTATACTGGCAATCACACAGAAATGAAAAAGGCAAATATCTTTCTCTTAAAAAATCTTTGAAACAAAAATTGTTAGAATTGCAAAAAGAACAAACTATTGCAACTCACGCAATACTTAACAAGCAATGGAAACAATGTGAACAGATCATTAATAATAACTTGACAAAACAGCACGAACATGTTAGTGATGTATTTTATACCATGGTTGCAAAGGAAAATTGGAGCACACATGAATTCGAGAAGATTTTATATGATTTCAGAGAAACATGGAAACAAGTAACCACTAAGGCAGCAGACGAATGTATAGCCATTATTGGAGAACCAATTTCTTTGGAAGTCATATACGACGAGAATGACCCTCATGTCTTGGGGATGCGGGTTCCAGGCTTTACAGTTCCGGGTATGCCGTATGGCTCCAGGGGGAAATTAGATTCCAAAGTTGGATCAGAGGGGTTATTAGTAGCTACACAAAATGAGGCACAAGTTGAAGAAACGGAGGAAAAACCCAGGGGACTTTATAGTTCCCTAGCGCGAACTTTACGTAGAAATAAAATATGGATTCCCTCTCCAGTGATCCTTTTCTGTTTATACATATATATGATTTTCGACCTTGTTTTCGGTGCTCCCGGTAGTACAGCTTTCATGTGCGTATACATAGTTGCAAAGGGCACAATTCTTATACTATTGATTGTGCCATTGCGGTTGTATTACCTAAAGGAGAAAGCAAAAGCTGCTTAAGATGAAGAAGAAGAACCAGCTGAACAAGTAAAGGAGAAAAAAGAATACTTCCTAAATAGATACCTCAATTATAAAAAGCTCTGTAAGTACATGGACGAAGCTTTTGAGATGGATAATGATGATGACACAGAGCAAGAAAAAAGAAACAAAAAAAAAAAGAAGTGGCCGAGAACAGCGTGCACAACGCAAAAAATCGTAAACAAATATGCAAAGGAAATATCAAAAGGCCGCAAAACATCATCATGATATGATAAACAAGATCATATAGATGATACAGAGAAAATGGACGACGAACTACTATTTGGAGAATTGAACAAATTAGAAAATTACGGAACGCACAAAACTACTGCTTTCTATTATGAAATGACTTGTTTAGATGAAAGATTGAGCGATTCTGAAATAAATAAAAGATTAGAAGAAATGGAAGAAGAACCTCATAAATCGGAATTACTGCCTTTATACTGGCAAGCGTACAGAAATGAAGAACAAAAATATCTGCTCCACAAACTCGTAAACCCAAGAACCAGCCAACCCATTAAAACTGTCCAAAAATATAGCACGACCTGGAAGAAGTGTGCAAAGGTAGTTCGCAATAATTTTACAAAACAACATGAACATGTTAATGATGTATTTTATACAATGGTTTCAAAGGAAAAATTGAGCAGAGATGAATTCCAAGAAATTCTAAATGACTTTAGAGCTTCATGGAAAGATGTCACCCTTAAGACAAAGAACGAATGTATGGCCATTCTTGAAGCGCGACCTATCTCAGAGTTCAAGTTCTCGAAGTACGCGAGTTCAGGATTCATTGCTGAGGGTGAACATTATAATATTATAGGGTTCTTTGCGTAGATTCGGGCTTTATGATTTAGAGCACGGGGGTTCAAGTTTTAAGGATCGAGATGTAGGGTGCAGACCCCAAGTATGAGGACTCCGTCTGTATTGTTCAAGCGCCCTTTTTCCATGTGCAATGTGTTCAGGATTCAGTATTGTCCTATGTGAAGCGTATGATTCCTTAGTATTAATGTCCTCGAGTACTATTCTGCGGATAGTACTTTGGTCGTCGTAGTACACACATCTGTACAGCACCGACATTACGTGTGTATTGATCCCTCAAGAACATATGCGTGTATTTCGTTACCATTATTTGTAGAGTAACGGTGTACGTTTGGATGGTTTCCGAAACGTGTACATTTCCGTGTATTATTATGATATGGACAGTACTGACATGCTCGTGGTGATGTGGTGTGAAAATTGAGTGTATAGGGATAGTGCCATTTTGCGAAGTGCACGGATATTCTAGAAGAACTGTTTAGTCAAGAGTATTGATGTGTTAGAATTTTTAATGGTGGTAATTAAGCATGTTCCCGTAGTAATATTATGTATAAGTGCACTATTGGTTGAGCTATTATAGGTATAACCTGGGGTGTTATTATATTTGAAGAGCACCAATGTTTCTGCGGATTGGTGTGTACTCATGATTACAACACTACTTGGAATATTATTATATGAACGACTTATATATGTAAGTTTAAGGGCACCATTATATAAAGGGAACGAGGTGCAAAAATCCTGGGATTCGCCCCGAATACTATTAATAAAACAGTGTCGCCGTTGCTAAAATATCAAAAGGTGCGGTGAGGAGATCGATGTGCCCGGAATAGCTCTGACACAAGGTTATATGAATACGCATATGATATTAACGAGTGGTTATTTTGTAAAAAAGCATAAAGGCGAAAGAAGACGGACATGTTGCGACAAGAATGACAGTAATGAAGTATATACGTGGGGGCAAATTGGACACACCTGACCAAATTGTCCATTTTGAAGGAGGAAGGAATATATAGGTAGAACCACATATAGATGACTTAGGAGTATCAACATATGGGAACATGTACATGAAGAGGGAAGTGTGAAAGGCAGCGTAACAAAATGTGTCCAAAAACTACTTTAACCGACAGGAGTTAATTCCCTATCAGACAGTCGGATAGTCCACTGCAAATTTTTGTCTATTTTAAAATATATTCGATTGCTTGCAAATAAAGGGAAATATATGCAGGCACGAATCTGATTCCATATATTAATTCGTGTGATGCTTCCTTCTTCTTTTTTTCGTTCATATTCAGTGCCATTGCTTGAATTACCAAATTTGTAATTTTATTACATTGAACGGGGTCGTAGTGCCCCGTGTTATACATGTTTGTGATTTTACACCTAAAAGTGTATTTATTTTTTTCTTTAAATTTTAAAAACTTTTTTAAGACATAATTTGTTTTCGTAAAAAATATAACAAATTCCTTGGTGTCATCATCAAGTTACCGCGTTCGATATTCTCACAGTTAATGCACGATGTTCTTTTCCTCGTAGTATCCCACATCGCAATTATGGGGGAGGGCTTTTGTGTTTGTCACATGGGTCATTATTCTGTTCAATATTGCAGCTTATAGCTCGTTAAACGGCTTCGTTATGGAAGGTGTGTTCCTCTTTTCAGGTATGCTCCTGTTGCCTTTACTGGACACAAGAGTTATTGTAATTTTTTGGAATGTTTACGTGAATTTCCGTTCTCTCTTTTTTTCCTGGTTACTTCTTTGGATATTATAATTAAGGAACAGGTGAGTGTTGTTTCCTAAATTGTAACAGTCACCCACCCTATTACACACAGCATGATTGTAGCTGCTGAGCCATACGTTAATACTTAGTCGGTTCGATAATGTGTACCCTTTGATCGTATCGTGTGAGAATATTTTGTGGCAGACTGTTATACATAAGTGCAAGGCTTAGGGTTTACGAATCACGCATAACCCGTTTTGTTTACAAGAAGGAAGAAAGGTAGGAAACAGAAACAATATTATATATAATTTCAACAAGAATGAGGTAACTTAATACAACCCCCAAACAAATTAACCAATAGAATGTTTTTTCCTTTTTTTTTTTCCTTGGTACATTTCTATAAATAAACAATTCGCTCACGATATGCAAATATTTTTACGTTTCTTATAATTAGAAAAAATATTACTATATTGCAATATTCAAAAATATTCTCCAACGATGTTGTATGATTCTTTTCCTAATTTTCCTACTTAATCTAATCTGTTTATTCATTTCCTATACAGAATAATACATTTTGTACTACTGTTAGAATAACTATAGATAAAAAAATATAAAATGCAAGTCTAAACAAACTATCATTAAATGTTGTAGTGGAACCCATAATTATTACAATATATAGAAAAAAACTTCTAAGAATTCATTTTTCATTCTAAAAAAAAAAAAAAAATAGACCAATACGTTAGCTTATGGAAGAACCTTCACCGCTTCCCTTCTATTGGGTATTCCCACATACATTCGTAAGGTACTATTCTAATGGTAGAAATAAAAATGATATACGCCATTTTTTTTGCCCCTTTACATGTTTACTCTATTAAAAAAAATTATGTAATAATGTCTAAATAAGTGCACCTTCTCAAATGATGAATATTTCCCTTTCATTCTTTAGTCAACATATAAGTCGTACAACTAAAATAATTCATATAATATATCAGACAGAACAGCACTTGCAGAATCAGATCTCTCGAAAGAACAAAAATATGCAGCATTAAAGAACACAATCCTAAATTTTTTAGAAAAAAATGATGATCTTTTCGGACAAGGATTAAGTGCACTAGTCCATCATGACGCTTTTAGAGAACACTTTAAGTGATTTCATACACACAGACGCTTCCCAAAAAAATGCTGTTTACATCAACACGAGAAAACGGATTCTAAAAGGATTTTGATCCATACAACAGTAGTGATAATTATTTGGACAATACTGACCGATTCAAAATTTATGATAGCTCCCATGATTGTTTGAATGAATTAGAGCGTGCAAAAAAAATGGTAGAACAAAACCAGTTAATGGAGCAAAACGGAATAAATCTAATACCCAAGAACCAGATGAAAAAGAAGAACAATATGATATCCGCATTCACATACCACAAAATTCATGTCGTAATATATGTGCTCAATCTTTAATTTATGATTATGAATACAAAGGAAAGAATAATAAATGAATAAGATATATAAGCCGAGTGAATTAACTCACAAAGGCTTTGAAAGAAAAAAAAAAAAAAAAAAATTATGAACATCGTGTGTAATTCTAAATGATGTTCTGTCTATATATTATTTCTCACCCTTTTACAATATCAATAATCCATAACATGAATGGCAAAATTGACAGTAAAATAATAGAAATAGACAGGATGAAGTTGGCTTCACGTGTTATATACTAAATTCCGTATAATATATATATTATATATTATATATTATTTATTATTCTTCTGCCTTCTTTTTACAAGAAATAGGATCGCACAATGGTGAAGATACCTGTATATGAAAAAACATATCACATGTATGTCATAATAAACAAAGGAAACTATTTCAATTCATTAAATTTTACAAAGTCTGTTTTATCACAAAAATGGAATTGCTTAATGTACATATAATCGTTCCACTCTAAAAAAAAAAAAAAAAATTATTTTCTTCTTTCCTTCTTTTACCTACTTTTCCTTCTACACATTTATATAAAATTCAACGTTGCCCTGCAATCGAATGATGGATCGACCTGCAAAGAATCGTGTAATTCAAAAAAAACGTATAACCCTTGTCACTGGTGTAAACCCTTGAACCATAAATTTAATCTTCTCCATGAAAATATGCTCATAACTATTTTTCTGTTCTTCTTTTTTTTTTTTCCCATAACTATGGAATATATACTCAAAATTGCACTTGTTCCTTAAGTATTTTAATTAAATAACCCCTAAATATTTATGTGTCCTTTAAAACAAATACACTACTTGTAAAAATAATTCTTTCTCATATTCTGGCAAAAAAAATTGTTCCCGGTCCTAAAAAAATTTTTTCAAAAAAAAAATGCCTCGTTTGTCAAAAATTAATTCCGCAACTCCCAATAAGAAATTAAAGGACAGCAGCAGTCACGTTACACATTCCTGTGAAAGGATTCAAAAAAAACATAATCTAACAGAAAAAGATCACAACCAAACATGGTGTTTCCAACATTCAAGAGTGTACTTCCAGTTGCTTTTTCATATGTTCTATATTCGGTAAAACTACATATTCAGCTGCGACAACGCCATGCAAGGCTTCTCTTTTTCTGCGGCACTCTTTTTTTTTTTCTCCTTTTTTTTTTTGGACTGTTGTATAAGTTTGGTCTATTGACCATGTCTGATATATACGTAAATCTCATTTGTAAACATGCCACAGGGTAATAAATCAGTACGATGCTCATACAATATCGGAATAGAAAAATTCTAAACGCTCAAGAATTTTGTCCGAATATTTTCCCCAGAAAATTGGAACAAATGCAGAAAAGTATAAAGAAAACGAACACGAACAACATGATAGCGGAAGGGTTGCAAAGAACAAATTATAACACAACTGGAATGTCAAAATATCATGTACTTATTTCAAGAGGTACATATACAAGGCAGCAGTTGGGACAATTATTCTTCACAAAATGAATAATTTGACAGCCACTAATGGTAAAATCATGGAAACACCTATGGGCAAGTTTCGAGCAGTGTACAGGAAGCATATGAAATTCCAGCAGAAGATCCCTTCCAAAAATACACCACTTGCAAGTATTAAAAAAAGTAAGAAAATATCTTAAGGTACCTTTAAAAGACGTAATAGTCAAAATAGACATGCCTTGAAAGGTACTAACACTATGCATAGGACAGCATGTAACAAGTAGCATGTCCATATAATTTACACTCGCAATACAAATAGTGCTAAAATTACTGAAGGACGCGACACATCCATGAATATTTCAGAATTTTAAAAATAATTATCTGAAAAACAATTAAAACGAATCATTAATAATTTAAATGAAATCGTAACTGATAGAGAAATTATTAATATATACAACCAAGTTGCAGCAATTGAAAAATACACATTCTATGAGGTACAGAAAAATTGTACTTTTTTTTTTTTTTTTGGACAGAGTTAGCAAAAGAGGACAATATAACATATAGTTACGTAGTTAGAGACTATGATGTAAAATTCATAAGCATCTACCATTCGAGTTACGTCAAATTAGAAAACGAAGTTCACCATTATGTAATGGACTTAATCGTTGACAACACATTCCATGAATACGTCTTTTCTAATTTTTTAAATAAAATTCAATATTCTTGAGAAGAATTTACTTTTAACAAGGATTATGACACCGCAATTTACTTTATAAAAACAATAAAACGTTTTTACAAAAAGGGAATATAATGATTCCTGTTTTAAAACAAAAAAAAATATATACATCGTCCCCTCTTAACAATAAGTACAAACTCATACAATATCCGAATGCCATTACACATCACGCAGACGTTTGAACAAGTGGATGACCACCATACGGTCTTAATGGAAAAAAGTCTACGTGCGAAATGAGCCGCTCCGATGTCCCCGTTCATTATTTAATTCTGTATTTGTATTGGAGAAAAAGTCTACCAAATGTGTGCTTTCAAAATTCTCGAAAAAATTGTACCTTTCAAAAACCATATTTTCATTCCATGCGCAAATGACTAAAAATATATGAATATATATAAATATATACATATATATTTTTATGATTTCCCCTATTGTGACAATGCCCGCAGTACCAATTTTTTTAATATAAGCAAGCATTCCCCCTCTACAGTTCCGATCATTTTATAATTCAGTTCACTTTTTAATTACTGAACAATACTGTTAAGAATGCTATAACACACTTATATTACGTATGTATATGCTTACACTTACAAATATTGTACAGAGATATATACGTCAAATAGATGTGCCTGTTTTTTCTTCAAAATATGCCGAATTAATTTCCTTATTTGTTTATTTTAATTTGTTGCTGCCTATTTTTTTCATCGCAACAGTCCCAACATCGCAGCGACGTGTAAATGTACACATATCACATTTGATAATTTTCAAATTGGTGGTGATCGTAAGACCACTCATAAGCAACACTTACACATTTTCCTATCAAAATATAAAGGATTCAAATTCGATTTGTTCAGGCCCCAATGTGGTATGTACCCTTAATATTTGCCATCTTTAACATGGTGAATCATCCGTGCATTCGCATTTTCCTGTGTGTTGCGATTCGCCTTAGTGTACTCATTGAACTAAGCATAAAACAGATGTTTCACATCACACATACCATTTGGCATTAATTAGCAGCTACTAGAAAAAGGGAATACTAAAATACACTATAAAAATAAGAAATATGCCTCCCAAATAAAGCAAAAAAGTATCTTCCTCTTACGTTTCACCAAATAATTACTCCCAATATTATTAGGCATATTTATATGCTGTCCCGACTTTTACATTATTGTGGAAACTCTGGTTCCCTTGTTTATAACTGCACATGTGTTTGCTAATTTTCTATATAAGCAATCATACGAAACAGTGAGAGGCAAATACTATGAACGTGCTAAGTGACAAGGCCCTGACACTACAGAGTATGTTCCACTAATAAAGATATCTCACGAGATCAACAAGTAATTGGGGGAAGCGCCAAATAAAATTGGAAATTAGAAATTATCGAGCAATCATATGTCTACCCCAAAAAAAAGCGCACACTTTTGTTACAATTATTCTAGTAGCGTAATTAAGTAACAAATATGATTATCCCTTTTTTTTTTTTTTTTTTTTTGCTAACTGATAAAAAAAACTAGCCGCACTAAAAATAATTTTTTTTTTGTTCTTTATAGCTACCTGTACAGGGCTTAATTTACCCTATATAAATTTTAAGTTTAATTTCAAAATTTTCTACCTCCTGGACTAATTCGCGCAAAATGTAATTCCCCTTACAAGGCCAACAAATTAGGAAATGATTTATAAAAAAACGCCTCTTCAATTAGAAAATAGGATGTTGGAAAAAAGAAACACACAAAATAGTTCGTTCCCATTAATGGGAAAAACATATATACGTTGCTAAAGTAACACCCCCTTGCTCCCTTGATGTGCGTAAAAAGATAGATATAAAATATACAAATAAATAGTTTTTCATTCCCTTCTTTTCTGTAAAAACTTCTAAAAATTTTTTTAACCCATTAAGGAAACACAATTAACTTTCCATTTTAAAACTACCCTTGCTCTAAAAATGGGCTACACGAAAAAGGAAATGCTCTTTTTTTTTTGTAATTATCCATAATTTGCCTAAATATCCTGCTAGAAATATGATAACATTTTATTATTCATTTTTATTTCATAAATGATAAAAAAAAAAAAAAAAAAAAAAAAAGGAAGCTGCATGCAAGGGAACACCTCCAAAAAATTAACACATAAAACATTTTATATATATATTGATTTACTTCGATTATAAAAAGTTAGGAAAAGCATAAACTTATGTCCTCGCTGAGGAGAGTACAGATAAAATTGTTGATCTAACTAAAAAAAAAAAAAAAAGCTCAAAAATCAGGAAAACAATTTAATTATCTGTATCACGGTGCAAACTAAAATTCGGTTGTGCTAACCAAAATAACTTTGAAAATAATGAATTATAATTTATCACACTTTTTTAATATTTATAAAATAATGAACACTTTATGATAAAATTCCCTCACTATTACCTTGCAATTCCGTGTATCATTCGGAATGGAGCTATTAAAATAACATATATTTGCACCTAAACACTGCATGCATCCTTTAAGAAAAATGATATATATAATCAAAAGTGTTCTCTCCATTGGATAATTGTTCAATATTTTTAATAAAAATAATGATTTTTTCCGGGTACCCTATTTTTTATCCCTATTTTATAAAATAGTGACCTTTTTTTATACATAAAAAACTGTTTTTTTAACACTTTTTTGTAACAATATATCTCATGTTTCTCTGACACAAATGTAAAATAAATAACATAAGAACGCTAGAAATGAATTTATAAAATACAAACATTATGTGTTTACGTGCATGTATTTTTTTTTCTAATGTGATAAAATTAATAAATCGTGTACATTAAAAAATTAGTTGTTTTTGATAATTTGTGTTTTAGGTGGAAATTCACAACTTCAAACTCTTACTTTATTCCTTTTTCATATAAATGTTAACTTTTACAGTACAAACTAATCTGTAAATATTGCCATATTTAAAAAACACAATAGAAATCCACACTTCACGCAAGTGGAAATTAACGAACTAAATATAGTAATATCCATATTTTTAGTACAACTAATCCTTACATAAAAATAATTTCCGGGTATACAAAAATGGCTACATTTACAAGCAACAGCGTTGCAGGGAAAACTAGCATGCCACAATTTCTCTGTAAAACATTCTATTTCACTCTTCTGGTTTGGTTCCTATATTTTTGCAATGACGTAAGAAAAGAAAAAAAAGAGCTGCTACAATTCTTGTACCCATTGTAACAGTGCGCGCTGTGGAAATATACCTGTGTACTTATGCGTGTGTTCGTGCTCGTACCTTTGTAGCATTTTCCCTATTTCCCCAAAAAGTAACTATTCATGTTTCTCCAATTTTTATAACTGTGTTCACTCATTTTTTTTTTTTTTTTTTTTTTTTAGCAACAATGTAATGGGAGGAGTGATCAGAACTATGAGCATGAAAATGCTGTGCGCTCTACTGCCGGTAGATCCTTAGCAGTAGTACGAAGAATGGGAAAGCACAACCCTCCACTCAGAACCCGTGTAGTAAAGGAAGTTACCCGTGGAGGCTTCAAAGAGTATGAAGAAAAATATGAATCTAAGCATTACAAATTAAAGGAAAATGTAGATGACAAAAATAAGGACTGTGATGAAAAGTACGAAGCAGCAAATTACGGATTCAGAGAAAAGTGCCCATACGAAGTTGATCCATATAATCGTGGACAAGGACCCGATATTTTATTATTGAAAAAAATGTTCCACCAGAATTTGAAAAGGGACGAAGATGATGATGAGGATGAAGATGAAGAAGAAACACTAGAAGGTAACGTACCTGGTTCCTCAGATGCATGCGACAAGGGATCTGGCAAAAAAAAGAAAAAACGCAGTTCCAAAGCAGATGATGAATATCCCACCATAATAAAAGAATACGAAGAAGAAATTGGCCCATCAGGATATCCTTCAAAAATGGGACCACGAGGCAGATCACAACAACCCAGAAGACAGGGTGTACAAAATGCCCACCATGCAGGAAACAGACAACACTCAGGCGACCACGTGAGAGGATATGGACCAGCTCCAAGAGGAAGACGCCCAGTTAGAGGAGAATATGACGATGAAGAAATGATGGAATATGGACCATCTCAAAGAGGAACACGCTCACTTAGCAGAGAATATGACGATGAAGAAATGATGGAATATGGACCATCTTCAAGAGCAAGAGGCGGATATGAAGTATTAGAAGCTGACGCACCATATCAATCAAAAGAATATCTGTCAAGGTCACAACCACAGGGACAAGTAAAGAAGCCACAAGGACAAACTCCACAACCCAAACCCACCACCCCCACCGTAAGTACACCAGCCACATCCACCACCCCCACCGTAAGTACACCAGCCAAACCCACCACGCCCACTGTAACTGAAAAAGCGACAGACGACAAGTCCTCCACAAAAGATGACAAATCCAAGGACAAATCCAAGGACAAATCCAAGGACAAATCCAAAAAGGACAAATCCAAGGACAAATCCAAAAAGGACAAATCCAAAAAGGATAAATCCAAGAAAAAATAAAAAATGAAAACGGAAAAATAAACAAAGATAAGCAGCGTTTATAACCAATAACAAACAGGAGGTAAAACATCAAAACGTTTTAATGTTGTCCAAATGAAAAATTTTATTATGGAAATGCAATAAAATTCAATTATAAACATTTACGACTATATGCGCAAAAAGCTAAAATAAGGGTGTAAATCAAATAAAAATAATAGCATATAGAAATACAATTGACAGTTTATAATTAATAAAGTACAACTGTATGTTTATTATACCCCTCCTAAAAAAGCGAGAACAAAAAAAAAAAAAAAAAAAAAATCAAATTAACATAGTTTTTTTTTTTTTTTAACTATGTTATGCTTAAATTATGTACCCTTTGTGCAATTGATGTAATATGTCCATTTTATATTTCTAAGGTGAGTATTCTATCCAGTTCTGTTATATACATATTCCATTAAAGTTTTATATTTTGTTCTTTCTTTTTTTTTTTTTTTTTTGCGTGTATTATGTTCTTTCCGATTTCATGTGGACGAGTATCAAAAAGGTATAGTGTGATATCTAGTAATATATTATGGATACATTTAAAAAAAAAACAAAAAAAACGTTTTTCTAACTTAAAAGATATAATATAATCAAAAATTTTATAAAATAAAATAAAAGTTCATTTCGTTGCAACAGTGGACAGAGGTGCACATCTGTGCAATTTAGACCCCAATAAGGTAAAATTGGTAACAAAAGCGAATGTAACAAAATTGTCTCGAATGAACGTTATAATTGCATTAAGAAAACACAAATGCTTCCTGTTTTTTTCATTTTACATAAACTTTTAATATTCATTTTAAATCCATGCATAGATTGGATCATCACTGAGCACCAGAATTAGAGTAAAAATACTTGCATACCCTTGAACAATTATAATATGAACAGAATGAAAATACAAAGCGCTTTGCTAATTCAATTTTGTTACAGGAATGTGCAAAATATGCGCCTAAAATATTTGCGAACTGAAAAATGAAAAATAGACCTTTTCCTCTAACAGCGTTGAATTATTGCTAAGGGAAAAGAACACGCTGGCACCACCCAAGGGTGCATAACTGAGTATATGTACAAAAAATTGAATACTTTAAATAATCCATTTGAGGAATAGAAAATACATACATATGCATTTCTACTGTATTCTTATGGTCCTACATCGTAATTAAATTCGTATATCCCCCAGACACCATACGGCTAAGTGGGGTTGTCCCTATACCACACTGCAGCATGGCGGCGAATATCTTCAACAACACTTGTAATCCGTATTAACGTTAGAATATGAGAACATATAATCTCCCCCCCCCTTCGCTTTGTTAGGAAATTCAACATGCATACGTTTTACTGTATAAAAATATAATACCATACCTGTTTTTTCCATTTTGCATTCATGTATGTGAAACTCCCTTTTTGAACGTGCCTTTTAAAAGGTCTAACAATTGAAAGAGTACTGCCTATGCACACAGATCGCATTTAATGGCACATTTTAAAAAAGTCAACAAAACGAGTTTGTATAAATAAAAACAAAACAGTTAAAACAGCACCGAGCGTATCGTTCTTGAACATATTGCCAATTATAATTTTAATAAAAGGATGTGTTACGTTTTTTTTACCATATTATAACATTTCTTACAGGGGAATTGTAGGAACAAGTTTTAAACACAACTATTAAATTTATGCCCAACGTACAATGTTGTATTGAGAAAAAAAAAAAAAAAAGAAATCCATATTTCTGTCTAATTAAAAAAAGAAATTTAAGTCTGAATTAAAAAAAATAATTTAATTATAAAAAAATAAACATAATATATAACTGTGTTTTTTGTTAAACACTGCTAATTCAGTATTACTATACACACTAAATTTCTCTAAATTAGTAAGCGTTTAGACTTTATGTTCAAATATGTATGTACACAGCTTAAGCTTTTTTAAAGGGCGCACGTAATACAAGAATTACATAAAATGAAATAAAAAAAAAAAAACTTCAATAAGTAAAATGTACATATGAATTCATACGATAACAGTCGAACTTTGCACTAAAATAATACATTAACACTGAAATAATGTATGCACATAAAACGGGAAAAGAACAAAAATTACAGACTCCAAAAGTAAATAATCTTCATACGTTTTTTCTCCTTTTACACCTAATGTATTTCTTGCACTCTTCTTCATATTAAACGTAGGCGGTTATTACGATGACCCTGATCATGATCCCTATTTTATTATATTTCTCTATTACATATATGCTAGTCTCATAAATCAACTTTAAAGCAAATAGTTTACATTATGCATAACCCACATAAACGTTACGAAATTAGTGCCACTCTCAAATAGTGTGATCTCCAGTGTTAGGATAACTACAGTTGAAGTATGGAGTCTACACGTCCACAACATAGTGTGGGCAATTATATATGTGTGGCCTTTTTTTTTTTTTTTTTTTTTTTTTTTTTTTTTTTTT